TGATAAATTATATCAAACATTTAAAGCAGAAAAAAGGAACACTTCTCCCCTCATTTTAGGAAATCAACATTGTGCTAATCCTAAACCTGGATAAAGATAATAAATCTTCAAAGTTTGTAAACATTTCAAATAATATTAAATGTTAATGATTTACATTTACATAGTGCTAATTCTTGTCCCACTAAATATTAACATAAAAATATATGCACAAAATATCAGGGACTATACATGGATATGCTGATACATTCCCTGAATATGAGTGTATAAAGTTTACATTATTCTTGGAAATATTTTCTTTATTGACTGGCATTTAAAAGCTTGTTTTTAAGTTCCATTAATATCAATTGCTGGGCCAGGGATTTAGCTCAGTGGTTCTGGCGCCTGCCTCGAAAGTACAAGGTCTCGAGTTCGATCCCCCTAGCAGAAAGCTTTTTGGTGTTGATAATTTTGACAGCATACTCTTGTCCAGTAGAGATTTTCATACATCTTCTCACCACTGAGAATGCCCCCTTTCCGAGCTCCTCGAACAGCTGGTACTCATCGGTGAACCTGGTGCAGGTGGCGGTGGAAGCCATCCTCGGCCGGCACTGGGGCAGGCGTGCGGCGTCCCCGGGACTGGCCCGGCGGCGCTGTCACCCAGGCCCGCTCACTTTCCCAGTCCCGAAGTCTCTCGCTCGCTTGTTCACCGGCGAGGAGGGCACGCAGGGGCGGGGCGGGCTCAGCCGACCAGAGGGCGGCGCGGGTCTCCTCTGCCGCCAGTGGGCCTGGCTCGCCTCCTCGGTCTCTGGAAGATCTCTGCGCCCTCTTTCCAGCCCCTCTCCCAAAATGTCAAAGTCTTCTGGAAGAGAAAAGTGGGCCGGGAGAAGGAGACCCGGCTGGGTGCTGGTTGCGTGGAGGCAAAACCATCCGCGGCGGCACAAGAGGAGCTGGGACGCACAGCCCCAGCCCGAGGCAGCTGTCGTGCGCGCGGCACAGGAACTCGGCTGTCCAAGAGCCCGCGGGCTGGGGACGCGCCGAAGGAAGGAGTGCTGAGCCCCGACTTGTATGTCAAGCTCTTTTCCCCTGCTTGGAAAGTTTTCTGCCATCACTCTGTGAACCGTTTTTTTAATGTCGTCTGCACTCTGTCCTGTTTCTTCCTTGACTGCAGTCAGTCTTACTCTTCTTTGCATCGTCTAGCAGGTGCTGGATTGATTTCTTGTGTTCCCTTACAATTTTAAAGCAATTTTTCTTTTCCTGTCACTAATTGCAATCTTATCTTCTATATCTGAAATTCTGTCTTCACATTGGCTCATTTTTCTGTGTAAACTTTCAGTGGAGTTTGTAATCTCCTGGAAATCTGTTTGTATCTTTTATGGATTCCATTTGTTTCCTATGTTGGGATTCCATCGTGTTCCTCAGCTCCTCTATTTTTTTTATCTGTGTCCTCTCTAGATTTGTTAATCATGTCTTGCACTATTGGCACAATCTCTGCTGTTATGTGAGAAATTATTTCTGATATCATTTTTTCCAGACCCTCTTTTGTTGCCAGTTCAGGGAGTCCAGGTGGTTGAGTATCAGATTGTTCCATCTCTTTTACCTTTGGGGTTGCTGTAGGTGATCTGGAAGTCTG